CCTATACAGAGCCATAGCCATAGACCTTGCATTTGCAATTTCTTGAAAATAGACAAGGGTTTTCAGAGAGAAAAAAAGCTTGAATTGCAAATAATATTTTTTGCCATTTTCGGCTCAGTTTCAGAAACGAGGAGTCATGACGACCCTAAAAATTTGCACATACTATACCCTCGCATACTATTAAAATGCACACATGTGTGCAATAAAGTGTGTGTGTGCGTGTGTGTGTCTGTATGTGTGCGTGTTTGTCATACGCTGCGTTTCGTTTCGTTTGTCGCCTATTGTTATTGTTGTTGTTGCTGCTGTTCTGCTGTACTTCTATTGCGAGGAACGGAACATTTTTAAATTAAATCTACACAAAATGCGTCCAATGGCTGTTGTTGCCGCTATTGTTGTTGTTGTTGTTGTTGTTGCTATTTGTGTACGTTTCAAGCGCAGACACGACTACAAAAACAACAATGAAGTTTTTCTGCTCGCGCTGTTGTTGTTGTTGTTGCTGTTGTCCTTGTTATCCTGCCTGATGCTGAAGGGCAGCCAACGAGCACAAAAAATTGTTCGCATTTCTTTTCTTTTTTTTCATTTTTTTTTTTTTTTTTTTGTGTAGCATGAAATAAAATAAATTAAAACAAAAAATACCCGTACATGGAACGCAAGAGCGCAGACTAGGATGAAGAAGCGTTTTATCAATTGATGCCGTTTTTGTTGTATTATTATTATTATTATAAACATTTGGGGGGTATGTTCATAATTTACATAACTGCTGCATACTTGCAGGCGCCAATGTCTAGTCTATTAGCACGCTCGGTTGTGGTGCGTATTTGTGTGCGTGTTGGCTGGCGTTTGTGGTAAAAAGCACGCGCCTTGGCAACAGCAATGATGATAGAGAGGCTGCTAAAGCCAAGTGGATGCTGCTTTAAATGGAATCTCTTAAGCTTTTGCCTCAAGTTGCCAACAAGGACCAAGACGAAGACGCAGACGAAAACGAAGGCGGCACATAAAAGGTGGCACGTGCAGCAGGTTTGCCCCAAAATGGTTGGCCAGGGGGCAAGTGGAAAGGAGCAGGCAGCAGGTGGATTGTGGATTGTGGGTAGTCCTAGAGAGTTAAGTCTAGGCCGCAACAGTGCTTTCGCTTTTTAGTCTTGACTCGCACGTGTGTCTGCGCTGCCCACCCATCCATCCACTATCCCGCCCCCCATTCGGCTGAATCCACGCCCATCATCCATCCAACGAGCGAATCCATTGCCGTCACGTTCAATAAAGACGCACCAAAATCCATACAAATTGCCGTGCATCAATATGAAGAAATTGCGTCAAATTTATTGATGAACGCAGCTTAGCAGGACACAGCGCTCAGACAGCAAGGAAGGGGGGCAGCAGCTAGTGAGAGGGCAGCTGGAGTTGGGCTGGAATACTCACTCGTACATCTAGCTAGCATTTAGATGAGCATTAACATTTTCCTATGATATTTGCTCAATCAGCAGTACATGTCTGTGAATCTAGAGCTAGGAGCAATGATTCTATATGAAGACTATAAATCTATCGCTGGTAAAATATTTACATTTCTGGCAGAAAAGTGTTAAAAACTTGATCGAATTTGTCTGCACAATATTTATGAGAAATATTGGATCAGGGTTGTTGGGTTTCCTATTTGATGTTTAACAATTTTCCCCAAGTATAGACCAAGTCCAAGAAATATATTCCACCCCCATTTCACCCCACTGACTGATTCTTAGCTGTGATCTTTTGAATTGTATTCAAAATGCAGCTGAGAATTTTTCAAAATGTCATTGAATATTGTCGCAAATATTAAAATAAACTAAAACATAAATACAAGTAAGGTATTGTTTACTAATGCAAGTAAAACTCAAGAAAAACAAGAAAAAATGGATTGCTTTTAAAATGCAATAGAAATTCAACCCAGTGTTGAGTCAAATTGATTTAGAATATTATTGAAAAATGTTAAGAAAATAGAAGAAATAACAAAAAGGGAGACAGAAAAACTTAATTGAATTCTTTGTAAAATGAAACAGAAATTTACCCGAATTTTGAGTAGAATAAAAAAAAAAAAATTGATTGCATATTTATAAGAAAATAAAAGAGATGACAAAAAGGGAAAAAGAAAAGTAAAATTGAATTGTTTTTAAAATGCAATAGAAATTCAACCCAATGTTGAGTGAAATTGATTTAGAATATTATTGAACATTTTTAAGAAAATAGAAGAAATAACAAAAAGGGAGACAGAAAATCTTAATTGAATTCTTTGTAAAATGAAACAGAAAGTTACCCGAATTTTGAGTAGAATTAAAAAAAAAATTGATTGCATGTTTATAAGAAAATAAAAGAGATGACAAAAAGGGAAAAAGAAAAGCAAAATTGAATTGCTTTTAAATACAATAGAAATTCAACCCAATGTTGAGTGAAATTGATTTAGAATATTATTGAAAAATGTTAAGAAAATAGAAGAAATAACAAAAAGGGAGACAGAAAAACTTAATTGAATTCTTTGTAAAATGAAACAGAAATTTACCCGAATTTTGAGTAGAATTAAAGGAAAAAATTGATTGCATATTTATAAGAAAATAAAAGAGATGACAAAAAGGGAAAAAGAAAAGCAAAATTGAATTGTTTTTAAAATGCAATAGAAATTGAATCCAATTTCGAGTGAGATTGATGAAAAACTTTATAGAATAACTGTGCCAGTATGAACACAATTTGAATATCGTACGTACTTGTAGTTTGAAAACTTTACGATTTATGCGATTTACGAGCAAGTCAGAGTGTGTAAGTAATTCGGATACACGTGTCAGCAGAATGTGACGCGTCAGACGACAATGTCGACAACGATAACTGCATCGACGACAACGAGGACGTCATGGTCCGGCAAAAGCGTGGCGTTAATCTGATTTGAAGGCCTGACCATGAACATTTGGCCCGCTGTCTACTTGTACAACAAAATGGCGTCCAAAAGCAATTTATGCATTGTAGTGATATATTTTTTAGTTCTTTTTTGTGTGCATGCGTTCTCTTTTGCCTTTCTGCTAAGTGTCGGTCATCATTTTTGCTGTAATTGCATGATAAAGTGCTACAAAATGGCGGTCGTGATTTGATGCCCAACACAATACACAGTGTCTGCAACATGTTGCAATATGCAGACGTGGGGCACGACTATCAAAGGGTGCTCCTCTCATAAAAAACTGTAGTCGCTTTTACTTTCTTCGCTATGTTGTTGCCGTCCCCGTCCCCGTTCCCGCTGCCGTTGCCGTTGCCGCTGCTGGCTTTTAAGTATCTCTTGAATGTTATGAGCGCGCATAAACATTGTAAGCGTGTCGTATGATAAAGCCCAACCATTTACGAGTGGAGTGGTGGCAAGGATATGGGCGTGCGGTACTTTGAACGCCATTAAACTGTGCCGCGTGTTCCCTTTTAATGCCTCATATGCACATGCACATGCATGAAGGAATGTGTGTGTAATTGTGCGGCAGCTTATTAAGGAAACCTATATCCCCGTACGCGTGTTTAAACGATCTTGCCTCACTTTTTATCGCTCAATATATTGACGTATTTTAAAATATATAGTATATAAAATCAGCAAAACTTTTTATAGACGCACTGCATGTGAAACATTTTCGGGTTAACAGAGGGGCTCTGTTTTATTTGCTGAAAGGGAAGTTCAATCTCTTAGTGGGAAAAAATGGGGATCAAAGGCAATGAAAACAAAAAATCATGAATTAATAAAAATATGTGGAGAGAGGGCAGGATGTCTGACGGTTTGGCTCAGTTTTTCTTCAAAAGGGTGCTTTTGTTTTGAAAAAAAAAACTTGATGTGTAATTTCTACATACATTATTGTTTAACTGATTAATTGTTTAAGTTTGGTAAGAAAAGGCAACCCCAGATTGGGATAAATACATACTTCACCAAAACAAATTTGAAATATATTCTATAACTTGTAAATACTTGTAGTATTCCGAGTCTTGCTTCAAATTTGAAATGAAACTTGCTTCAATGAAATGTTATTTCAATTTTGTAACCTTATCGTTTGAGACTAAATACAAGTATGTTGCTATGTATAGGCTATGTTTACACTATATTTGACGAACTACAAATATGAAACATTCTATTTTTCGTTTCTGAAATCGACCGAATATAAAAAACTAATTCTTGAATTCGTCTTAAAAAGTTGCTAGTGACAAAAAATTTAAACACTAGCTTCGAGTCAAAACTTGCAACCCAAGCATATAAATCGTATTTCGGTATTTTTAATGAGTTTACAAATTTCTTGGCTCGAATGTGTTTCGAATCTCGCTCGAATCTTGTTCATATATTGGATTTGGAAGCAGAAACATTGATAGTTTCATTCGATTTGCGAAGTGAAAATGCTAAACCAAATAAGAACTGAGGGTGTGATCGCTGCCTAACGATCAAAGCTGTTTAACCCATTGGCGAGCAAAAAGCTTATCGCGCGGCGTTTGTTGAACCCCCAGACGTGCTGATAACCAATCGACCACCGGCCTCAGAGACAACCCAGCACTGAAGAGCCGAACCAAACAAACATAAGACAAGCAAAGTAATGAGTCGACTCTTAAATACCCTGTAATTGAAATTGTTCACAACATTTTATAGCTGCGTATTAATTTTTAAAAATTATTGCTTGGAAATGTGTTCAAATGTTTGCAAAAAATAAATTCCCCGAACTTAGGGAAATCTGAATGCCAGACTTTTTGAGAAGCTTGCTGATCGATTTCGCTATACCCTTCTAACCCACGGCTAGAGAGTGGAATAAACGTACAAACAATCAAAATCCGAATGTCTAGGTGGCATGGGGTGGCATGTTGCGATCACCGAGCAGTGAGCGAGCAACACGTCATGAAAACCGAGCGATAGCTTGAGAGCGCTGAGAGGGAGAGCGCATCGGCGGCGATAAAGGGAGATAGAGAGCGCTCGGCTGCGCAGCTATAAAAGCGATCTCCGCGCCGCTGAGGCCGGCCAGAGGCAATCGAACCCCTGTGGGAGAAAGAAGAGGGAGTGTAGCAAGATGGAACGTTGGCAGAATCGAGTGGCTGTGATAACCGGCGCCAGTTCGGGCATTGGAGCGGCCTGTGCGAAGCTAATTGTGGCCGCCGGTCTGCAGGTTGTGGGCTTGGCGCGACGCACCGAGCGCCTGGAGCAGCTGCGTCAATCACTGCCGGCAGAGCAGCAGGCCCGATTCCATTATCGTACCTGCGATGTGAGTGCCGAGTCGCAGGTGAGCAGCGCCTTCCAGTGGATCGAGCAGCAGTTGGGGGGTGTCGATGTGCTGGTCAACAATGCGGGCACCATCCGCACCGGTCATCTGGTGGACATGCCCATTAGCGATGTTCGGGATGTGGTGCAAACGAATCTGATGGGCGTCATTTATTGCACACAGCAGGCCTGCCGCAGCATGCGTCAGCGTCAGGTTGCAGGCCATTTGTTCTTCATCAACAGCACGGCCGGCGTAGCGGGCTACAATCCGGGACGGGAGGACCCCAGCTTGAATGTCTACACACCCACAAAGTTTGCCTTGACGGCTGTCAATGAGATTTGCCGCCAGGAGCTGATTACTTTGCAGACGAAAATCAAGACAACAGTGAGTGAAAATGTTCCATCATTTTTTTCTCTTTCAAATAAAAACGTTTCGTCGCTTCTTCACGCTACAGAACATCAGCCCCGGCTGGGTGTCCACGGAAATTGTGCCCGATGAGACGAAAGCCCAACTCGGCGATGTTATACTCCAGGCGGAGGACATCGCCCAGGCGGTGCTATATGCGCTCTCCACCCCACCACATGCCCAGGTCCAGGAGATAACATTACGAGCGGTGGGCGAGTGGTTCTAGCGACTAACAACTGATATAGAAATACTAATAAAGTCAAATATGAGGAGATAGATAATGCGCTGGCCATTGTTGTTGTGTCTCTTGTACTTATTATTATTATTGTTGTTGTTGTTGTTGTTGTTGTTGCTGTTCAGTAATCAACACTTAATAACAATCGCACATAAAAGTAAGACTCCCCTCCATTCAACCACCTACAAATACTCAGAATCCAACACTATTCGAACTTCCTCTCCCGTGTTGCGTCTCTTCGAGTCATTTCGTTTCATTTCGTTTCGCTCTTTATTGTCATGGTTACGATTATTGGCTTTTTCCAGTTTAACTACCACGCTTAATAAATAATTCACTATCATAAATTATTTGTTTATTATGCGGAACCGAAGAACAGCGCAAATGTTGCCAACAATATGCTGTTTTATTCATAAGATCGCTTCGATAATATGTGCATAAAAAGTTTCACGAAATTTAATTATGAAAAATCACGCTCCGCATTTCATTTATTTCGCCTTCGGTTTCACACAACATGATGGATTGCTTAATCAAATCAATTTCATGGAAAACTTTAAGTTTTCCAACATTTTCCGGTGCTTTAAAGCACACAATTCAGATTCGATTGTTCTTCGAGCAAGTTCCTCGCATATGCTTCGGTTTTCAAAAAGAGAGTGTACATGCGATTTGGAAAATTGAACTCATGGGTGCCGTTTTTGTATTGAAACATAATAGTACCTGTTGTATTTCAAACATCGTTTAGAGACTCGATTGTTTGTTGCACAAATTATACATTTATTTTCCCATTTTCGCATGTGAATGCGTTTTTCAAAAATATAATATTGCTTAGCGGTTTCGTGTAAATTGCTCGCCTTCAAAAGTTGTTCGTGAATTCGCATACTACCTATTCAAAATAGTATTTGAATTAAAACAAAATTTGTAACTTGTTGGAAATAAAAGGAAAAATTCACATTTGTGCTTTTCTGTTCTTTTTCGAAGACAAACGAAATAGCATGAATCAAAATTTCAATTAAAGCTTGTTATTGAAGTGAAAATGTTTTAAACATTTATAATCTTTACACAAACATTTGTGTTTATTCAATAAACAAGTTTTGTGCATAAAAATCGAAAAAAAAGTGCATCGCGTTTCGAACATTTGAATGGAATAATATTTTCATACATTTGTGAACTTTCTTTGTTGTTTACTCTCAATTTGCTTTATTTATTTATTTTGTAATCGCTATCCTTGCTTTACAAGTTGTATGTAGGTTACTTTTAAATTAGTCATTAAATATTTAGATATTTAAATTTAAGATTGCATTCTCTTGCATTTCACTGCTGTTTATTTTTAAGGTATGGGGAAGAAGAAGTAGCTTTCTGAACATTATTAGTTTATTATTAGTTCTTCTTGATGAAGTAAATTCGATTTTGTCGTTTACATAACTCAGTTCTCTTCGAGTAATGGTTCTATGCAAGAAATTAAGTTTAATCCAAGAGTATGTCTTTACAGAGTCTCTTCTCCTAAGGCAATTATTCGCTTTATACACTTTAAATAAGCATTCTTTTTATTTTCAAGAACAATGTGTCTCTAAGTATATTCACTTTTATCGAATTGTTTCATTCACAAAGCAAACTAGCAATTTCAATGAACACATTTCCAGCTACTTGGCAGGATTTTGTCTTTTAGTCTGTTGCTGCAAGCGTTGAGTTGAAATGCATTGACTATTTCCATTCAAGTAGTATCCTTGCGGTATTTCAATTACATATCGTTTGCAGTGTATGGCCAGCGGCCAGCAAGAAGAACATCTTTTGAAGCAAACAATTAAAAATGTGACTTAACAATATCAGAGGAAGAAGAATAAATTGTCATTCGCAATCCCATTGTCAACTGAGTAGTTAATTAGTGAATTAATTAATAAATACCCATACATTCTTGCAAATTAAACCAAGCCAAAAATGTGGAGCTATTCACAGAGAGATACTATAATATTAATATTATATATTTATTTGAAAAAATTATGATCGAAGTTATGGATAGATTCTGGAGACTATCGATAGTTTGAATCAAATTAAGTTAAATTATAAATACAACAAACATTTGTCATCATCGAATTACCTTCTGAGGCTACAAATTCTGGTCTTTAAAAGCACAAGTTTGCCATTTCATTTGGTTTGTTATTTATTTGTTTTGTTTTTAATTCACGCAATGGTTGAAGACATCATATACATGCTCGTCTATATACGCGAATATTTAACAATATTTGTTTAGATTTGTTGTTGTAACCCAACAGCTGGTAGGCCACGAGTCCTTCACACATTCCCACCCAGTTGCCAGCGATGCCTTTGGGCTGAAATTTCGCACTTAACAGCCAATGGTCGCGTCATGTTAATTAACAAATTTTCAACATTAGCGTCTAAAATGGCGGCCAAAATGGCGCATATGTAGCAACGCATATATACTTGTATGTATCTATGTTAGAGTGTGTGTGTGTGTTAAATTTAACTAAACATGCTCGTTTCCTTTACCTTTCTTTCCTTCTACACTTTCCTTTCCTTGCAGCTTCTGTTTCTGTGGCGCCGCCAGCGAAAAGCGTGTCGAGGGCTGCGGCTGTTCGCGCTGCTCCCTCCATCTACGTGTCTGTGTTTTCGTTGCAAGGGAGCGAGAAAAGCAAACTTTTTTATTTTCCTTCATTTAGATACCCTTTAAATGGGCATACGGGATGCTTGAAAGGCTTAGGGTGAGATGGTACCCATGAAATGGTCAGATTGAAGGGACAAATCGACAGAAGTTTTCTAGTACCTGCTCGTACTTGTCATTCTGTTACGCCTATACCTCTAATACTAGGATGTAGGGTAGGATATGTCCTATATCCTGCTAAGTATTATGTACGTTCAAACAGACCAACAGTTGAAGGAACACATCTGTTTGTTTGGACTTGTGGAAAGGTTCTGCTGATTATGCATGAACTTCCTTGAAAGCTCATTTAAGGATATCTTTCAAAAGACAATGAAAAGTTTGTTGATTTAATCAACGATGTAATAAAGTTTGTATCGGATAACGACATCATATAGCAATTAGTTCGCATTTACACACAAAACTTTATTAAAAGCCATCGAAATCAATTTAAATATTGGAAAGTTTTCTCGAATAATAGTTATTATATTCCAAAAATTTGAGCTGGATTTTCTAAGAGAAACAGTAGAAAGGGTATGGCTGCTTCGGGCGCTGTGGCTCACGTGCTCGTACGTTTCATTTTTTGTTTTTGTATTTTTTTTCTGAACCTTTTTAATGACAGCCCTACGACCCATGGCCCATGCCCCAAGACCCATAACCCATGCCCCATGCCCCATGCTCCTTGCTCCATGTTGTTGCTGTTCGCAACCCTTTTTAAACTTGTTATAATTTTGTTTCTTTTCTTTGCAAGCCCTTTGCGTGTGTCTACCGCAAAAATTTAAGCTCGAGCTGCTCAGTCTTTGGTGCGACTGCGGCTGTTGCTTCCCCCTGTCCCCCTTGTTTCCCCTGTTCCCCCCGTGTTCATGACGATGCTGAAGATGTGGCAGGAAATGCTAAACGGTCTAGGCAACAGTAGCAACAACAACAACTGCCACTGGCTTGGCTGTCAGTCAGTCAGTTACAAAAGTTTCAACACAGCTGAAGACATATGTGGCCCGAAAGAAAGGCAACAGTCACACCAAATAGTGTGACTCAAAGGAGCAGAAGGAGCAAGATACAAATTCACAAAATAAAGTACAGTTGTTCCATATAACTCTTAAATAATTTATATTGGTTGTTGGGCTTGCAAAGCAAATAGTAGGATGTACTTAGATACGAACATTTGAATAAATAGAAAACTAAAACAGTTCCTTATGCAGAAGCCCTTCTCGTAGCTTGACATCTTTTGGTGAATAAGTTATTAAATTGTAGGCCTTCATACAGTCGCACAGTCTGTTACACTGACTAACACTCTATATCAGTTTTTAACGATAAGTAAGGGACTGAAACAGATCTTCATGTGGAAGCCTTTCTCTTTTTATTTAGAAATATACTGAATTGTAGGCGTTCATACAATCGAACAGTCTTCATCAACGATACAGCTTTGTTCCTGAGCTGAATTCGTAGTATTACTGTTATTTCTTATAGTAACATGTAAATAAAACTTTTACTATAGAAAATAATATTTATACTAAGCAATACAATAATTTTGGTTTATTTCAAATTCGGCAGGAAAGATTATTAAAGAACAACGATTGCTTTTTCTGAGGATATATCTAATGTACATTGTTTCAAGAACGATCCAATCTCACTGAATACTATCATAAATTATACCGATGAATTGACTTGCCATATCTATTACTATCGATACATTGTTTAGAAATTAGAAGTAATGTTTATCTCTAGTGCTTGAGCTGTCAAACTACCGCTAGTGCCATCACTCGATAGCAGCGATACTATCAAAGTTTTTTCCAGTTTTTTCCAGCAATTTCTTTCTATTATGAGGAGATAATTGGTTTTCCCTTCTGGCCAATGCATTGTTTGCGATCAACAGTCAACTTCTATGATATTTTGTTTGTTTTTTAAAAATTATATTTAAATTATAAATGTAAATTATATTTCTAAAACTCATGTTCCATATTGTCGAAGTTGATGAAATGAAGTAGAAATGAACAGCATCGATAGTTAAGACATTACTGAATAAGATAGAGGAAGTACGGCAATAAATTAGTGCAAATATTGTATAATAAAAAGGTTCATCGATGTCTGGAAAACAGATTAGAAGCAGCCTCGAAATAGAACCACACCTGCGTGATTCCCTTTGATTGTTTCTGCTTTTTCTAATAATTTAAAGAGAGAGAGAGAGACTTCTCGAAGCGTTTTTATTTTACGAGTGGTATAATTTGTTGTTGTTATTTTTCTACCTCGAGAGCATTTGCATTTTGTGTCGTGAATGTGAACGCGATTTGTTGTTGATGTTGTTGTTGGTGCTGTTTTTGCTGTGTTTGTTTCCTGTTTTAATTAAAATTCTCTAACAAATGTCATACGGAAAAACTTTTTGGACAGCAGCAGAAGAG